CTAAAATCAAAATAATTTTTTTATTAAACAAGTTCAATGATTCTTATTACCTGATGATTTTTGTTCTTCTGCATTAATATTTTCACCATCAGATGTTTGATTTTGACTTGATGTGGAAAGAAAATTCGCAAATTTTTCTTGTAATTCTCTTACACGATCTTGTAAATTAGTCTATAAAAATATCAGAACATATTTAATTGAAGAAATTAAACGTTTTTTTTCTCCTTTTACTGTATCAGGTAATGAAACTGAATTAGCTAAATCTGCTAAATGTTTACTTAAAGCATTAACAGTTTCTTCTGGCATATATTCTTTCATCCATGATAAATCAGGTAAAGCATCTTGTATTTCTTGATATTTCTATAGATATATAAACTTCAAATTAGTTTTATCGATAGAAAGAAAGATGATTATCTTTTACTTTACGTGCAGCATAACCACCACCAACAGCTGTACCAAAGAGTAAGTAACGAAGACGAAGAAGACGAAGTAAAAATGCCATTTTAAGAATCAATCAGAACGATGAAATTTGGATAAAACTTGATTAGAAATCTACACATTACATTGCATTAGATAGAAGTATACAATTGAATGATTCTTCAGAACCAATTAGATTATCGATGAAAAACGTACTGTATGCATATATTCCTATAACGACATCTATTGCAAATATTAAACAGTTTTTCTTATTCTTGAACATAGATCTAGAATAAAGATTTTTAAGTAAGAATCAAGTTACATAGTAAGACTTCGTTTAAACTAAAGATTATTGTGCCACTGCCACTTTGACGTATGCTTATTCAGAATTAATTACATAACACCGTACATATATAGGCACAAATTGAAATTTAATGAAATATCATATTAAATATTGAATGAAAGTCAAAATACTCAGTCGATTACATAAAGAGAACAACAAAACTATAGCAAGTTCATGCAAGATTTAGCATCAATGAGTTGTTTACTAAGAATACTGATATTAAAAATAATGAATAAAACTCTAAACAACGCGTTCAAATATAATCGTTCTGAAACTAATATTGTAAGATAATTGAGAAATTGATTATAGTAGATGAATTCTTTTGTTTTCTACGTCAGTTACAAGCAATATTTTAAATAGTAAAGAAATTAGAAAAAAATAATCTATATCCTGTTTCTTCCATTAAAAATACAGACTTCATCAGTTAAGCATTACTGATCAACATCGATACAAAACTTTGTATTCGAAAAAGACAAGAATATCGTTATAGGTGTTTAATTCTCAAAAGAATATATAGATTAGTTATATGACTGTATGATATATAGGTTATTTGCTTTGTTAATAAGCAGTTTGAATAAGAATAGAGAATAGATAAGATATATATATATATATATATGCATTGATGTTCTTTATAAAAAGAAAAGAAAAGAAAAAGACCAAATTTTACTTTGAATATAATCATTACACTATCACGAACAATTTATTTCGCCAATTTTTTGTTAATAACAAATGTCTTCTTCTCTTTCTATTCCATCAATTGATGAAGTTTATGCAGCTCAAGCTCATTTACGTGGTATTACAAATAAAACTCCACTTCTTAAATTAAATTATGAAATTCCTGGAATAGAAATATATTTAAAATGTGAACAATTCCAACCGATATCATCATTTAAACTACGTCCTGCTGTAAATGTTGTTCAAAATTTACCTATAGAACAAAAACGAAATGGAATAATAACAGCATCAGCTGGTAATATGGCACAAGGTTTAGCTTGGATTGCTCGAAAAGAAAATATTAAATGTCAAGTTTTAGTACCAGATACAGCAAATGAAGTTAAATTACAAGCAATTGAACGATTAGGAGGACAAATTACTAAATGTACTTTCGAACAATGGTGGCATACTATTGTTACTCATCAATGCCCAATATTAGATGGATATTTTATTCATCCAGTATGTAATCGACACATAATTGCAGGAAATGGTACTATTGCATTAGAAATATTAGATGAATTACCTGATTGTGATGCAATACTAGGTAAATTAATTTAGATGATCGACCAAAATTCTCTAGAAGAAAATGTACAGAATGATATTAACAGAAATAAGATATTCATTTTTGCCGGTTGATAATTTTATAATTACTTTTAGTTATTTATATTTAGTTCCTTATGGAGGCGGCGCTTTGATTACGGGCATTGCTTCTGTAGCCAAACATATAAAACCATCCATTGATGTATTCGCTTGTGAAATCGAAACAGCAGCACCTCTTCATGCTGCATTTAATAATGGTGAAGTAACTAAAATTGCGATGGAAAAATCGTGGGTTGATGGTATTGGTAGTTCAAGTGTTTTAGATGAAATGTGGCCTTTAGTTAAAACCTGTGTTGATCATTCTATTGTTGTTACATTAAAAGAAACAGCTAGAGCATTGAAAATATTAATCGAACGAAATCATATTATATGTGAAGGTGCTAGTGCAACGCCGATAGCTGCTGGATTATGGTATTATTTAAATTATGTACAAAATGGAAAAGCTGGATTAAGACGAAAAGATAACAATAATGAAAAATTAAAAGTTGTGGCAATTCTAAGTGGAAGTGGTATTGATAATGAAACAATTATTAAATGTTTAAATGAAACTTTATAATTTAGTTCACAAAATAAAAAAAACAATTTAGGTGTGGTGCATTAGCATTATAGTTAAGACTTAATTCGAATACTTAAAACTCTTGGCGTTAGTATTAGGGAGGATGTAGTCGAAAAAAAACTCTATGATCATAATCAAGAAATTAACATTTTCTGTTTTTTATTGATGATAACTTATTCAGTTCGATACTAATCATCAACATGTGAAGTTCCATATGACACTCGCTCTCTACCTCTTACAATGCAATTTCTTTTTACACTACCGATCAGCTCGCAAAATATATGTTCTCTTCAAATATTTATACAGGTATAATAATTTAGGTCTCATATGAACATACGACTTTCTACTACAGGTAATGCAACGAGAACTCGACTAGAAAGAGTCTTAAGTATTAGAATTAAGACTTAACTAATGCAATGCTAATAGTACGCCACCATCGCTAAAAACAATTTCATTTATTTAAATATTTCTCAATTGTCTTTCTTAAAATCCAGACCGTTATCAATAAAAATAAATCATTCTTCAATAAAAGTAACGATAGTAATAAAAACATAGCTTTTACATCATTTTATATAACTATTAGTAATTATTTTGAAAGTTATGACATTATGAATATCAATTGACAAGGTTTTAACTTACTAGGTATTTTATTATATAACTTTTGATTTATATTTATTTGTAGTTAGTATATTTAACAATTGATACAGAATAAATAATATATGTCATAAAGATTTATATTGTTATATCGATAGCAAGGAGAAAAAAAAAGACAGTGCATTTTCTTATTGACGTTTATTAATGATTATCGCATTACAAAGCTACATGACTATATATTCATAATCATTCAAATTATAGACTAAGAAAAAAACACAGATTTATTTTTAAATAGAAATTGATTTAAGTCATTTATCTTCAATACATATATATCAATTAAAAATTTATTAGTTTCTATTGAATATTTAAAAAAAGTAAAATAAAATGAAATGATTCGATCCTATCATAAATCATTAAAATAATCATATATATATATTTATAGTTTAAAATCATCCCTTTCACACATTGAATTAATTGAACATCAAGGTTTTTCGAAAAATGACAAGTATAAACTAGAAAAAGGATAGATGAGTACACAGGTTCGATTCATATAGTTGCTGTTATACATTCTATTTATATTAACCAGTGTGATACGCCAAATTGACTTTCTTTTCTTTTTTTTTTCCTTTATACATATTCATCTGCATATGGATATACATATAAATATTGTCTATGCTTGAATGCTTGTCACCTTCTTATTACTCTGATATAATAGCACAGATTAATATATATATACGTTTTATTCGTTCATATTATATTCTTTCTTTTTTTTGATTTCTGTCAAGAACGATTTTCTCATCATTTTTATATTAAATAATAAAAAAAAAACAACAACAACAGCAAAAGTCAAATATTATCACATTATGTCCCGCTCAAGAAGACAATCATTTGTATCACGTATTCTTCATTTGTAAGTGATTATGAATAATCTATTATTAATTAACCATATAATAAATATTTTGTACTTTTACATTTATATAATACGAATAATAAACACACACACACACATGTTAAATGTATTTTAAAATAGCAGCTATTATAAGATTAAATTTTAGTATTATTGATTTACATGACAAGATAAAGATTTTTTTTTCTTGTTTTTGAAGATTATATTGACATCGTTAAATATGTTTTATTTGGAAAGAAAACATAATGAAAAATATTTTTGTTCTTTGATATATCAGTTTTTATTTGTACGAAAAGCAACAAAGAAAAAACGAAGAAAAGATTTGTTGTAGAAACGCACTTATAAAGAACATCTAAATTGAATGAAGAAAAGAGAAGTAATGAAAATTGAAACCAAATGATACTTCTATTCATTTCTTTTTCTTCTTCTTCTTCTCACTTAGTCATTTCTTTTCTATTGTGTAAGACATTTTAAATGGGTTTCTTTTTTCAGTTATTATTTGAAAAAGTCAAATCTCACATATATATATCCACTAATATTTTTTCAAATCAATAATTAGTATAGACTAAAGTTATTGATATATATATCTTAGAATAAATGATATTGACAAAAACAAAAAAAAACATCGATCTTTAATGAGAATGAAATAATATTTGGATAAGACTGTATTTCAGATTAGAGAAAGAAATGAATTTTTTTTCTTCTCTCTCTCTCTTTCGTCTTTGTTTTACGTTTGATATTACTATGAGAACAGCAGTCTATTTTTCTTGTCATCAAATATCATCTATCACAGGCTATAGTTGACCCATTAACCACTTATTTATCTTTCAGACAACAAAAGACACCAAAAATCAATCGACTTAATCAAAATGCCTCGACGTTCATTACGACATCGCCGGTAGATATAACATCTTCATTTTTATTTCATAAACAACAATATATTAATGATATAAAAACGAAAAGACGTTAATTTTGAGAAAATATACATAAATTCACCTGTAAGATATAATAACCTATTGATAATGATTTATTATACTTAATATTGATTGAAATATTAGATTAGAATACTTAATGTACTGTTTAGTATAACCTTGTACATAATGTTTTTCAGGATAGTCTATTGAAAATAATTTTCCTTTGCCTGTTTTATTTTTTTTTCTTTGTTGTTAGTGATTTGATTGTATACATCTTTTCATCAGACATATATATTTTTCTTTAAGTACATTAGTCAAGTATAGATAAAAAGACATTCAACCAATTGATCTAACTTGATACATATGGGAAGATTTTTTTCGATTTATTTGTATCAAGAACTCATTATCTGTTGATTTGTCTTAAACAAAATATTTCTTGATCATCAAAAGAATTGCTTCATTTGTTGTTCGTCAATTGAAGAACATTGAATTGTTTCATATGGTTTATAGTAATGATTGAGTTAATCATCGATATCAAACAGATAGAAATTAGAAGAGGAAGAAGAGAATAGATTCTACTATTGTTTCTCTTTCATTTACAAAATAATAGAAAAACAATCACATACAAGTGATAAACAGAATAAAACATGTAAGTATAAGAAGTAAATGACTAAAATATATTTTTATGGTTTTCTCTTCGTTTAAACTTATATGTATATACGAATATGATTTTTAATATTTTAATGTTGTATCACCTGACAAAAAATAAAATCTAAATTTAGGCATTCAATTCATCCATCAAATAATGAGAATAATAATAATAATGCTCCAGCAACAAATCAAAATCTTTTACCACCTGAATTACAAATTACAATAACAGATAATCCATTAGTAACAACAACAATAACTGCACCTGATGGTTCATCACATTCATCATTACAATCTGCAGCATTAGGTAATAATAATGATGATGATGATAGTAATAAAACTAATCGTCGTGATACAACAACAAGCCAGTTAATATCAAATTTAATAGCACCATCACCAAGAAATACACATTCATTATTAGCAAAATTAACTGATGCAAAAAAGACTTTATTTGGAAGAGCAACTACACCTGATCCTGCTTTTTCATCAGCAGAAGCAAATAAAGCATTATTAAGTTATATTTTATCTGAACCATTTCCACAACTAGACGTCATACAAGGACATGAACGTGAAGGAGCACAATTAAATGCTGTTACAGAAGAAGGAAATACAGCTATACATTTACTTGCACGAGCAGAACAACATTCACAAGAATCTCTTAATATTGTGGAATATTTCATAAAAAAGGGTTGTGATCCAAATAGACAAAATGATTATGGATGGACAGCAGGTATGATTTTTCATGTATTAAAACTTAATTCAATTTTTTAATCAATATTACATCAAATTCTCTCTTGTATTTTATTACACGGGATATAAAATTGGAGTAAATTCTGTTAGTTCAAGTAATTTAAGCAATATATATATATAGAGGTGTAAGCCGTGCGACTGAGCAGCCGCTACGCCACCGATAGTATTCGAAATTTCCGAGCCGCCCCCGCTGTGCGACTTTGGAATAGAAAATCTCAACAAAAAAATTATTTCAATTTTTATTTTTATTATTCTAGCACATTATGCATTAGCAACTCATAATACTGATTTAGTTATATATTTACTTAAAGTAATGATTGATGTTAATTTACCAACATGGGATACATATAACGGTTTGTAAAATATTTCTTTGTTTATTTGATTTATTTATTTTTTTATTTTATCCTAAATAGGATATCCAAGTCAAACTCAACTTCTTCATATTGCAGCACGACAAAATGATAGTGTTTTAATACGTCTTTTGGTAAAAACTTATAAAGCACGTGTGAATGTATATGATGAAGATGGTTGTACACCATTACAAATATGTTGTTATGAAGATAATATTGATGCATTAAAAGCTTTACTTGAAACAGATGCTGATTTTCAAAAAGGTACACGTTTAAATCCTCATGAAACACCTGTTAGTATATTAGTTAAATATCAATATGATATGTGTTTAAAAGCATTATTTGAATTAACATCAAATTTTAATTGGAAACGTTATTTTTCTCAATTACCACGTTCACCATTATTATGTGATTTTCCAAGTATATATGGTATTGAATTACTTGTTGAACGTTCACTTGATATCGATGCATGTGATGAACGTGGAAATACATTTCTACATTATTTAGTTAATAAAAAAGATATTGATTATGATAAATATGTTGAAAAATTAATTCAAGCATCAGCAGATTTCAATCGACAGAATCGTCTTGGACGTACACCATTTCTTGAAGCACTTGAACAGAAAAATTTTGAATTAATTGCAGTTTTTCTTCGTCATATTGAAGTAACAAATATACATATAGTTGATTCATTATCAAATACAGCATTACATTATTGTAAATATCTTGATCAACTAAGTATTTATGAGAAAGTTTTACAATCAAATCCACAATCATTAAACGCACAAAATCGTGATGGACAAACACCATTACATGATGCTATTTTATGTAATAATGATCAATTTGCAACATATCTTATACAACATAAAGCCGATTTAAGTTTAATAAATAAAGAAGGAAATACACCGCTTCATTTAATTGCAATTAATGATAATGTAAAAATGTGTAGATTATTAATGAAACGTGATATTGATGTAATTCCAGTTAATAAAATGGGCAAAATACCATTACATTTAGCTTGTGCACATGAAAAACCTAATGTTGTTAATATTTTAATTAACAAAATGAAAATTGAAGACATTAATTTAGTAGATCGACAAGGACGTACACCATTACATGAATGTGCTGAAAATACTAGTGGTTCATTAGCAAGATATTTAATTCGACATGGTGCAGATGAAAATGCCAATGATTCAAGAAACAATACTGTACTTCATTTAGTGACTGAAAAAGGTATGCAATGATTACTAATAAAAATAAATTATTTTTGTTTTTTAGGTAATCTGGAATTAGTAAGTACATTAATAAAATCATCGCATATTGATATAAATCAGCTGAATGCTGATAGTCAATCACCACTTGGCCTAGCAATATTATATAATCATGATGAAATTAGTCAATATTTACTTAGTCAAGAAAATATTCGTGTACAATTTTCTGATTTAAAAATGGCAATGAAAATGAATAATTATGAAATGGTTAAATTATTAATTGAAAAAGATCGTAATTGTTTACGTGTACGTTCATCAAATTACGGTGATATGATTATACATATTTATATGAGAAGAAATTTCAATAATTTAGTTTGTCTTGAAACATTGCTTTCATTTATATCGGATAATGAATTATTAACATATTTATCAGAAAATAGTTTAACTTATGGAGATAGTTTACTTCATATTGCAGGTAAAATAATATTTTTAATATCTATAGGAAAATAAAATCTAACGAGGGAACTACCCGAGGTATCAGAAAGCTTTTGAGCTGAAATTTTGCCCACAAGTACGGAATGAATAGACTAGAAAATGCCTAAAAGGATATGTGTCCAAGTTGGTGTTTGACTGAGATATCGACTATTTATTGTATTTTTCCTGTAGGGTCGTATCGGTGCGGTAAAATCAAAGTTTCAAATTTAGGCCTGAGACGTAGTCCACACCAAGACCTCAATCAGACAAGCTTGCTTACAAAGTTTTCGGGATTCCGGAAAGAATGTCTCTGAATTACAAGTATGTTAGCATAAAGGGAAACGATGAGTACAAGGATATTTAGGCACACAAGCATCTGAGTATGGTTGAGAGCGCTGGCCCGGAAAAATGACATCAATAGATTCCCGTATCCATGTCAATTCATATTTGCCTTGACTTTCTTTGTTTTCGTCGATATTATGGACTTAAACACTCATGTGGTTAAAGTTCTCGTGCTCATCGTTCACTGACCCTTCTCTCGTTAATTTTGTAGTAAAAATCATTGAATACAATTCAGATTAAATATTCTATACCGAGACGTTAGACAATATTCGAAACTTTGTAATGCATGTCATCTAGTTTACTTCGTTTACCATCATAATGACTTACAGATAGTTCGGAGAGTTGATAAGAATACACGATCTTTCTTTTGCACCAGTATAATTTATTCTAGCTCGTGAAGATACTCCAAATGCTCTTACATGTTTTCTTAATTTATCTCGTGTTAAATTTTGGTTTTGGGCAAATATGATGTTAACAAAAAATAATGATAATAAAACTCCATTAGAATTAGCTAATGAATTTAAACATTATGCTATTATTAAATTAATTAATTCTAAATGGAAAGAATCCTATGAACATCTATCACATTCATTACGTGATGGTCATTGTGGTGTTTCGCCAACTGGTGTTACACAAGCAAGACGACGATGTTTTAATTGTAATCAAACAGGTTTTACTGAATCATCAGCAGGACAAGTGACACGACCATGTGCTAAATGCAATGTTTGCTTATATAAATCATTGGATAATAGTATGCAAGTATTTTTAGCTTTATTATTCAGTGATGAATCAAGTACAATTGCACTTGATATTATGGATTCATTAATTGTTGTTAATGAAGTACAAAAAGCTATTCATCTTTATCTTGATCATATTGAACCATGGTAAGATATTATATAAATATTATTTATATATGAAAAATATTTTTTTCTAGGGAAGAATTTGATAAAACTGATTTAAGTGAATCATCAAGTCTATTGAGTCAGTTGATACATACTGCAGATACTCATAAGGTTAGCTATAACTTTCTCCTTGATTTTTATTAACATATAATTAACTTTTTTTTTATAGCAAATACCAAAAAGTCATTCTCGTGATCCATCTGTAGCACTTCCAATTGTACAAACAAGTACTAATCCATCGACAATACCAATAGTAGGATTTAAATCATCAGGCTTATCTGCAAGTGCTAATCCTATTCCAACTCCAACTGGATCATCTCTTTTAAATGCACCCGGACCAACAACACATCCACCCTATAGTTCACGACCATCAATTACAGCAACAAAATTTCGACCTGATGGTACACAATATCGTGCAATAACACCATTAGAAGCAATTTATTATCATGAACGTCTTGATTTAGTTACTCATCCACTTATTAAAGGTCTTATTAAATGGAAATGGGATAATTATGCTGCAAAACATTTTTATCTTGGTTTATTATTTGAAACTTTATTTCTTATTTCATGGACATGTATTTCATTAATTACTCCATTTCCAGTTCGTTATGTTTATCGTTTTCCTCAAGATATTTGGCGTGTTATATTATGGGCAATTAGTATTGGATTTTTATTATGGGAAATCGTTCGAGAAATGTTTGATATATCATATGCAAGAAAACGTTATGAAGATTATGTTATTTGGGAAAGTGAACGAACACAAAATCGATTAGATTTAATGTCAAAAAATAAATATAAACCAAATACAACTATACAATCATCAAATGCTCCATTTGGAAAAACTGAAAGTATAATTAAAACTGATAATGATATTGCAAATATCGAACATAGTACAATTAATGAAACAATAGCACCAAATTTATCATCAAATATTAGTTTAACACCAATGCGTTCACATCATTCACAACATCATCCATTACCACCAACATTACCAACTGTAATTAAAGGTAAACCTATTGAACCATTACCAAATCAACAACAACCTATTGATGCTCCACTAAATTCAACTGATCCATCAAATACTCTTCTTACTAATTCAAAAAAGAAATCTGCTCCTAATGTATCATCAACTATTGATAAAACTCCATCAAGATTTGTTCGATTTTTTCAACGTATTAAAGCTAGTACAAAAACACGTTTCAAATCCTATTATATGTATTATTCATTAAATAATTTATTTGATTGGATTATTTTTATGTTTTGTTTAATAACAACAATAACACATTTTGTTGATGTTGCATCTCATACAGTAGTACGTGCACGTATTCATATGTATGTTGCATCAGTAACAGTTTTGTCTATTTGGTTTCGATTTATGGTCTTTTTTCGAACAATATCTATAACATTGAAAACATTACGATCAAAATTCGTTGAAATCAAATTAGGAGAATTACTTATTATGGTAAGTACAGAAAAAGAAAAATCTGCATTTAACATAGCTTTTGACTTTTTTTTGTTTAGGTTCGTATGATGTTTGATGATATAATACGTTTTCTATTCGTATTTATCTTTCTTCTTGCACCCTATGCATTAGTTTTCTTTTTTGTATTTGGTGGTCGACAAATTCCTCATTCTGATTATGAACAAAATCCTAAACTGTGTGAAGATGCATTACTTTATTGTCCTATAGTTGAAGGTCAACCATTAGTTGGTGATAACTCTGAGACTCGAACTCGATATATGTTTAATGGAACATCATCTAATATGAATGATTTTTGTTATAATGCAACAAATTCTTGTCGTGTAGTTGAACAAGATGGCTTTGAAGATTTTTATGCATTACTTTTTTCTATTTTTCGTATTGCATTAGTTGATAATAGTAAGAAGAAAAAAATAAAACGAAATTTTTTAATTCTAATAACTTTTCTGTTTTTCTTAGTTCCGATCGAAGAATTTAATTTAATTGATCGATATTTTTCTGCATTTGTTTGTGGTACATATCTATTATTTACAGCCATATTATCTATAAATATTTTTATTGGTCTTATATCAAATGCTTTACAAACCGAAGCATTTTCAACAGTTGAAGCACGTTTTCTTCTTGAACGTATTGAAGTTATTTTAAATTATGAATGGCGTTTATCTGTTCGAAGACGTTTACAATTACAAGAAATAGTTCATCGACAATGTGCACCATTACAATTAAATTGGAAAGAAATTAATTTCGATGCATTTGGACAAACACGTGAAGAACAACAAGCAAAAGCATTTATGAATTTTCGACAAACTATTGAGAAACATAATATACAATTTGATACATTTCGTATTCAAGTACAACAAAAATTAAGTGATATTGATACAACACTAATAAAACTACAACCAACAACAACAATGACTACACAAAAATCATTAAGTTCATCTGAAATTAATGGAAAAAAAATTAAACTAGATAGATCAACATCAATGAAATCTCCACCTTCAAGTCCAAATGGAGGACAATTTGATATACCTCAAACACCACCTATATTTGGAGCAAATGAATCAACAGCAAATATATTTGTTGAATTAACTCGATTAAGAGAATTATTAGAAGATACACTTGCTGGACAAACTGATCGAATTCCTTCTGGTCCTCTTCGAGCAGGACACGGATTAACAGATAGTACAACTGCAAGTCGTCGGTCAGTTGTAAGTTTACCATCTCGTCCTCAATTACAACAACAACAACAAATAGATATACCATCAACAACTGAAGCACATTCTGACACTCAAATTCAACCATTTGCACAAAATTTAAATGAACGTGTTACTGATTTACAATTAGCTGTTAATCGTCTTCATCAAGATGTATCAGCTATCCGACATGTAATTGAACGAATGTCACCATTATCGGCTAGACTTATTCTTGGCAGAGCAACAACTGGACGAAGATAAAATGTTACTTTTTGTTTTTCTTTTGCATTTCTTTCTATATGTTTTATGCAGTCATAATATGACTGATTTTTTTCTCTTATGCACACACACACCAAAACATATGTACTCAAAATAATAATTTATAATAAAATTCTAATATAGAAATGTTTATGGAAAAATATCATGATTATGTTTCTTGTTCTGAGTTATTTTATATCGATTCTAGTTTTTATGTTTGAGGAAATTATTCTATAATATTTGTTGAGTTTATGTATGTTTTAGTTATTATATTTACATTAGTTAACTAATAACAAAGTGTATTGCAATTGTTGTTTCAACAATTTTGATTCGTATTCAATAGAAAGAGACATATCATTCACTATATATTTAAAGTAGAAGAAAACAACGAATTGTATAAAATCTCGTAATTAGTGTATTTATTAACTTTTTAAGGTAATTTATTTAAATAATTCTTCTGTTTAGCGTGAAAAACTTCTTTTTTTTCTAAAATAAAACACATTCAATATTTAATGAAATCATGCACATACATATGTGATATTAACTTAAAATATAGAAATTCAAATGGAATATTACAGCTAAGATGTATGTATCAAATCAGCATAAACAGGAAAATGATCCGATGGAAAAAAACCATTTTTATCATGATAAGTATCGACTTTTGTTTCACCTTCAACCCGGTAAACACTATTCGATGATATCCAAATAAAATCTATTTTCGGACCATAACCAGCTGATCGGAAACCATTAAATGTTGGTGTTTCACCATGTTTATATGTATCAACAAAACCAGCTTCTTTCATTTGTAAAATTTCTGATGCTTTTTGTCCTAACACAATCAATTCGTCAATAGGTTTATCACCTTCAACATCTTCAGGCCAATTATTGAAATCACCGGTAATGATTACATTATCATAATGATCATTATTTTCTTTGATTTGTGAAAGAAGAACAGGTATTGAATGATGTCGAGCTTTTTTTGATGGATAATCGATATGAATATTATAGATAATAAATGGATGTTGTGTGATTTTATGTTGAAAATGAGCGTAAACACCAGCGCGTGAATGTTTAGCACCCCATGCAGAACCGGGTGTTGATGGATGTTCATTAAAAAAAAACGTTTTTGTTGAAATAAGTGAAAATATATCGTGACGATAGAATATTGCATTAGCTATACGCCAATGATCAAATTCTTCACCTACCCATGACCAACATTGTGTAGTTCTATAATACAAATCAATATAATGGTTGCTTATTGTTTGCATGAATAAAGTACTTTACTCATTTAAATCATCAAGAATATCTTTAAGTTGTGGTGGTTCACCTTCCTGTGTTCCAATGATAGTTGGTTGCATATTTTCTAAACATTGTTTGAGAATAGGTCTTCGTTTTTCCCATGCATTTGGTGTGCCATGATCTATTTCATCGGAACGTAAATTAAATGTGCAGACACGTACAACTGGCCGTTTGTTATTTTGAATATTATCATCCATTTTTATTTTATTTTTTCATAAGTACAAACTTAACCAAGTCGTTGAATAATCGAAATAAATTATCGATAGCTAAAACGAGTAATAGAATTATTCATTTGTATTGTTGATTTTTATAAGTATATTTTCATAGATGAAAGAAAATAAAAATGGATTATTCAAATAAGCAAATAGAATAACATAGAAACCATTTCTATTCTTTATCATAAATCAAATCAATGACTGCACGTGTTTTTCTATATTTTACATACATACTTACATAAAAAAAAAATCAACAGAAAAGAAAGAAAAATTACTGCTTATATCGTAGCGATAAAATATGCGACACTATGGTAGAGTAATGTTACTGCCAGCCTCGACAGCGATGCTTACTAAATTATTTTCCGTTCTCAGTCGATTCCATCCACAAACGACATGCGAGCTCTTATGGAAGAAAAAAAAAAAGAAGGCCCATTTTGAAGGAAAGAGAGAGTACGATTAAGGATCAGCATATTTATTCTCATAAAAATAAGGCTTACGAGGTTTTAGAATATATTCCATGACATACCATACTTGTGAAAAATTATATAATATTCATAAATATGTCAATTTTATTAAAGATTTATAATTGAATGTATAAAAAAAAATATAAATTTGATAAGATGATTTTTATCAAATCATCGGTGAATTTTTTTAGTAAGAAAAGGTTAAGAATTGTGTATATAATAAGGATTAAAATATGGATATAAAGAATAAATTTGTATTAATATTTCACTTGATTTTTTAAAGTTTAAGTATAGAATCGCTTAGACCAAGCCATGTCTTATATGTTCCAGTTACCATTGGTTTACCTAAAATATACAGATAAAGAAATTAATCATTCAAATATTGTTATTTCATTCTGATTATATGAAAAGTTCTATGTTATAAATGAAATCATGCTTACATCGTGGTTTTTTATATTCTGTATCAGTTGGCCAAAAAGCAAAACCATCTTTAGCATGACGTTCATATCGATTTGAATATTGTGATAATGATGGTCGACGATTAAGTTGAGCAGTTGCTGACCATGTCATTGAATCCATTGATCTTGCTGCTGGGTTTGATGGTTGATATGATAAATCTTGAAATGATGATGATGCAGATAATTGTTGTGGTTGTTGTTGTTGTTGTTGTTGTGATGCTGGAGGGTAACCATAACGAGGCATTGGATATTTAAATGTATCATCAACTCGAACTGTACCTAAATAGAATTAGAATTTGTAATAATTAGAATTTTTTCAAGTATCGATTAGAAACCATCGACAAATGCAAGATTCGATCCGGAATATGTATTTGTTTGTTTAATATGACGCCAAAATCCTCCAGCACGACCAAGACGCACTCTAAATATAATAGAAAAATTTTTCTTTTATCAGATAATTTTTTTTCTTTCGATTATTCTTATTACTTTGGAAAGCCACCTCCCGCTTGATAAGGTGTTGTTAAATTTTGTTTAAGAGCATCACGATAAATCATCAAAGAACCTAATTGTTCATCATCAAAATCTTTCCAGCCATTCGATTGTGATGATGGTTGAAATTGAAAATTACTACCAACAACATTTCTTTTATTCAAAAAACAAAATACAAATTTCAAATAAATTTATAATCATACTTTTGAGTAACAGGTAATGGTGGATTATTATTGAATGGTTTTATAGTTGTTGAAACAAAATTATCCGTATCATATGTTTGTTGTTCATTGCCATAGTTATTTTGATAGAATGAACCATTATTTTCTGAGCCATATTTATTAATAGAATTTGTTGAACATGAACATTTACCTTTACAACCATGTTGAGGACAGTTCTATTGAAATATTAGAAAATAGATTGACGAAGAAAACAAAACTAGATAATCAAAACAAACCTCATCAACATACAATACAACTGTTGGCTGTCGTTTAAGTTTTGTTTGTGAATTATTTAAAAGAGCTGATGATCTGAAAAAAAGAGAAGCAAAACGATTAATGTACTTATTCATTTTATTTAACTTACTTAGATCTTCGAAGAAGATATGCAGTACCAGATGGAGAATTGTCATTGGCGTCAGTCATGTTTAGTACAGTTGACTGAAATAGAATATAAACGTTTACTTCTTATGATGAAGATAAAATATATATAATTAAAAACATTCAAGTACTTTAAAAAAAAAGATATGCGTGATAGAACATTTTTATTACATTTAAAATTATTCTCTATTATTTAGTACTTTATTTTCAATTATGTTTAGTAATTTTCTTCTTGCCAATTTTTCAATATAAAAATCTCATTTATATCGATTTATTACATTGTCTTAACTTACTTTTATTCAGAGAGGGAGAGAGAACAATTCCAAAAAGTAAATGTGTGAAATGCTCAAGCAAAATAATTTTTCTATTTAAGAAAAAAAATAAAAAGCAAATATTTCGTCACAACAATACTTAAGTATATTTCTGTTGTGCTCTCATAATAGTGAAAAAAATAAAAAAATATTGCTATCAACAACACTTGGATACCTATTGTTTAGCATTCAAGAAATCACATGTTTAAGGTAAGAAAAAAACAAAAGAAAATGACTGAAATAGTTTAGAAAAATAGAAATGTTATTCAACATTCGATGCATAGCAAATAGTTTAAATGCGTTTACTGTATTTGTTTTATTGTTATTAAAAATAAAGATATAAAAATTACATTCGTATGATGAAGAAAAAAAAGAAGAAAGGAACAATTAAACATTAAATGTTATTTTTTTGTTTCAAACTTAAGATTAAAAATATATAAAAGAAATATTTTTCATGAAGAATTGTATTGACAAGTGAAATTTGAAAAAATAAAAGAAAATATTAAATTATTTTTGAATCAATTAAAGGCAAAACTCAATATTTTATCTCTTTGTTATTGTATTTTTTATATAAATAGAATATATATAGAAATAAAATAGTTCTTTGTATAAGTCAAACAAAATAACTAAACCATAATAGTAGTGTTCGGGCGGAACTGTTTTAGATTATTTCCGAATTTTATTTTTATACTTCAGATTGAGTTTTATCTTTTTATCGTAATAATACTGGATTGAGGAAAAACTATTCTTTTAATTGTGTCACCAATTCAAAATTTAAAAAGATGCTAATAATATTTGAATAAATAATACAGTAATTAGGCGCGTAACCAGACGGTGGTGAGTGGGAGGAGATACAGGCCTCTGGCTGACTCTGAACCCCCTTACTAATTGTTTACGTCTGCTTGAAAACCACTCGTTCCACTCCAGACGCCAAAAAACAGAAGCTGAGCACCCCATACGACAACTTTTATCTGATTACGCCACTAACTCTGATTAATTTGTTTCTGATTATATAATGATATTGATAAATATATAATTATTACAATGATCATACATTTCTCTCAACGAATAAAAGTACAATGTTCAGATGAAGGTTAAAAGATTAAGATGACTTTGTTTAAAGAAATTTTATAATGCAAATTAGATCTGATTTGATTAATAGACATGAATCTTTTTTTTTATTAAAGAATCCTTGTAAATTATAATGCAATCTACATATTTGTTAAAGATGTAAAAGAAGTTTTCAGTGACATTCAAACTATTGAATTCTTTTTTCAAAACAAAACTATTTTGAATGTCCATTAAAAAATGATTTCTTTCATTCTTCACTGAAGAATTACCGGAGAAGAAAAAAAAGTAATCATTCGTTCTCAATCGTATGTGTCTTTCTTTCATCCAAACAACATAATCGTACTTACAGTAGTGTAAACAATATTTCATAAAACTTTATCCAAGAAGAAAAAAAGAAAAAAGACATGCCTGTAAAATCTCAACAAGTATTCTAATTTAGAATCTTTTCTAATATATATATATAATAATTCTTATTATTTCTATTTAGCAAACTCCACCTGAGAATAGTGGAGTTCGAGGTCGAACACAAACGATAAAAACAATAGCAACAAAAGTAGCTAGTTTTACATCGAAACGAGCCAGTGCTGGTGCTATTCGTAGTGGTCGATCAAGAACAAGTGTTGCTGATTCAAAAAGAAGTCATCAATCCACACCAGTAAAAACCGAAAGAACTCCAGAAGAATTAATTTATTTAAGACGACACAAAATAATATCAGAAGTTAATGGTATTTTTTTATTTGAGAAAAAAATTAAATAGAATTTTAAAATTAATTATTTTCTTATAGATAAAAATATTGATGAAGTATTAAATTTATCAGATTTCTCACATATACCAAAATCATTTCTTACAGAAATTGAACAAGATGATATTTATGCAACAATTCTTGAAGAACTTCAAAAGAAAAAATCAATTCTTAATGCATCAAAAAATATTTCTGAACAACAAGATGAAGAAGAACCAATTTCACCAGATTTTATGGCAGTCGATGATGAAAATAAAAATATATCTGATGAAATTTCATATCCAATATCAGATGAACATAATACAAAAATATCTAATGATGGTTATGATACAGATATTGAAATAGGTAAAACTAAAAATTCTTATTTTTCGAAATATTGAACTTATCTTTTTTTTCTAAAATAGAATCTCCTGTAAAACAAAAAACTCCTATTTCCGGTAAAGACAAATATCGTAAATTATGTGAAAAAGGCAAACTTGTTCCATGTTCATATTTTATGGCACATATAAATAAAGATGAAATGGTTTTACGTTATCATCAATTTAGTACCGATGATATCCGAGCAATTACAAAAACACTTACTGTATATTATTGAATTTTTATTAAAACATATTGACTTATTTTTTCTTTATTTCTAGACAAATTATAATGTCGAACGTTTATTCTTAGATGGAAATTATTTACAAGAACAAGCAGCACAACATATTGCAAAATTAATTATATCAAATGATTTTATTACTGAATTAGTATGTATTATAATTATTGAAAATAAAATTAATCTAAATATAATATAGTCTCTTGTTGATAATCGACTTGGTGGTGGTGAAGGTACAAAAGAAATATGTAGAATGCTTACATTAAATCAAAATTTAAAAAAAATTAATTTATCAGGTATTTATAAAAGTTTATTTATCCGTGAATTTTATTATTATTAATATTATAGGAAATAAATTTAATGAATTGGATGTTGCACAATTAATTGAAGCATTTGAAGTAAGTACTATTCATTTTTTTAGAATAATTTTTGACAGAAGCGGCGGATTTTATCATGGTGATAGTGGTGGATTTAGGGAGGCGATCGCCCCCCCCCCCCCTTCCAAAATCCTAGATCCGCCACTGCATGATGAAGACACATCAACACTTATCTAGAAAGTTATTCTAAAAAATACTCACTCGCCTTTTATTTTGTTTCTAAAAAAATAATATGATTATTTTATTTCTAGAGAAATACAACACTTCGTGAACTTGATTTAAGTCATAATTGTTTTGGTGAAAAATGTGGTGAAATGCTTGGTGCATTTATCAGTAAACTATGATTTTTCATGATAATATATTAATTTTATCCGATTTATTTTTGTAGGTGGTAACGATTCATTAGAATATATTAATTTAGGTTGGAATAATTTTCGTGAACAAAGTGCTATAGATATGATAGGTGGAATTACAGTATGTTGTTGTTGTTTTTTATTTTATTCAATAATGTAATCGATGAATTTTTTCATTGTAGGAAAATACGAGATTGAGACGTTGTAATTTAGAAATGAATGGTTTTGGACCTAGTGGTGGACAAATTTTGGCTGAATGTATTAAGAAAAATACTGTATTAGAAGAACTTAATATTAATGGAAATCGACTTAATACACAAAATGCTTTTGCTATTGGTCAAGCATTATCAGTGAATGATACACTTCAAGTTCTCAAAGTAAAACTAACTCATTCTTTTTTATTTGATTCTCACTAGACTATTTCTAGATTGCTGATAATCAAATTAATTCCGATGGTGCACTTGCTGTTTTCTTATGTATTAAAGCAAATGAAACAAATAGATTACGAGAAATTGATTTTTCAGTAGGATACTTATTTAAATATACGTTATTTTTATTTTCATTTATTTAGCATACGGTTGTTACTCAAGAAACAGTAAATATCTGTGAAGATATTAAGAAATTAAAAAATGGGAATTTTAAATACCAAGTTGGAAAAGTAACACCAGGTACATTGATTTCAAATATTCTATATTATATAAATATATTTCTTTTGATTTTTCAGAACTATTAAAATCAAATGCTGATACAATATGTTATATTAAAACTAATACAGATCTACTTAAAAAACTACGAACAAATGCAGCTAAAGTGAAACCAAACGAAAATTAACTAGATTTTTTATTGTTGTATATGTGCATAGAACTTTTTAAAATATAATATTAATAACAAATATAAACTGAATTGCATTATAATAGAAAAAAGAAAAGAAGCACGAATATAAACGGGAAAAATATAATCGTCTAATTTAAATAATACCATAAATTTATTTTATCTATTCTGTATAAATGGACGACGAAGAATCATCAGCTGTTCTTCTATCACTTTTCTTGATTCTAGTCCAATACATACATAACTTCTTTTCTTTATTCTTTGTCTATACATAAATTATGGTTATCGATAGTGAACATGTAAATATGAATCGAATATATACTTTGATTTTATTATTATAGTTTTTCGTTTGTAGAAAACTTCAATACATGAAGATATTGATCATGATAATACAGCCGCACTTGAAATTTTACGTTATTCAGTAAATGAATTACATCGAAAACAAACTGATATACATCGACATATTGGTCAATTATCAGCTGTAAATTCTAGATCATTCTTTTGTTAATATAATTTCCTATTTTTCTTGAAGGTTATGTCTGATTTTGAATATCATATGGCTCGAATACGTAATATATGTGAATCATCAAATAAGAATAATAATAATGAATTATGTCAATCGTTATTATCACATCTTGATTCCGTAATATCTGATACACGATCAGCTTTAGTTTCATCAACAACCAGTACAAATGATGCTCAACAAGTTCATGATCTTGTTCGTCGTCTTTATGATGAAAATCAACAAATAGCAAATCATATTGATAATTTATTAAAACAAGATCAAGTAGAAAATAATGAAGAATCAATCATAGAAGAAGAAGATCATATACAAAAAGCAATTGAAGAAATTGAACTTGCTTTAAAACAAAATATTCATGAACAAGAAAATATTAATAAAGAACAAGAATATTTTGATAATAATCAAAAAACAATTACAACATTTATTCAAACAACTGAACAATTACATGATGAAGCATTAGATAAATTACGTGAACAAATTAAAATTTTACGTGAACATAATCAATCATTAAGACAATATAATGACCAGATTGATATACTTACAAAACAATTGCCACAAAGTTTATTTTTATCAGCCCAATAAAAAATCTATTTAACTTAATTTTGTCTCTTTTTATTTTAACTGGGATCGATTTCTGTAGGACTTATATTACTAATCCATGCAGTTACTTTTTGATTAGCATCTATTTCCATTGAAGAACAATTTTTTTTATAAACATCTCGAAAATAATCATCCCATTCAAGTACACATATTATAATAACATTGATAATTCCAATAAAAAAACCAATCGATGCCCAACCATATAATGGACCTAAGACTTTTTGGATATGAAAAAAACCATAGATTAACCATAATGTTGCTAATTCAAGTATAAATGACATACATAAACGAATAATATCTATATAATATTTTAAACATCCACTGATAATACAAATTGAACTGATTGTATATAAAATAAATGTTCCGATACCGATTGAAATAATAATATAATCAAATGAATCATTATTTATAGTACATTCTTGACTGATAAATATTTGTTTTCCATTGATTGTTGTAGTAAGACATCTCCATAATGGACCAACATGTAGTTTAAATGTTTTATTTCCAGTATTGGAAGAATATCGTGATGAATCATATTGAAAAGGGGAATAGAACTGAGCTAACAGTTTTTTATCATTTGTTTCAATAATTCTCCATGATGATGCATCCAAACAGATTAATAATAAAGCAATAATTAATGAAGAGAATATAGTTAGAATTTGATATCGACGAATAAATGATGGAGAGAGTAATTTTATCATTACAACTATATGTATAAACTAGAACATTGTGATGCGAGAGCGAGAGAATATACGATGATTTATAAAAGAACGCATATTAACATACCAACACGTTGAAGAAATAGATAAGTGATATGATTTGTAATTAATTATAATTTTCATTTTTTTTTTGTAGTTTTAATTTCTGCATAAATATCTATATAATTATAATAACTGATGAAATGAGACTTCATTGACAGGTACCTACGGAGGATTTATATATTTGTCAGATATCCTCCTAAAGTCATGGATACTTTTTATAAATAAAGAATATGAATATAAAGAAAATGGTGAACTCTGACTTTTTTAGTTTATCAATTAAATATTTATCTACTATAGAAAGTCTAAAATCATAAATTATTTATTCTGCGCAATACATATTTCATCATGCGGAGCATTGTTGATACATTAACTACTTTATTTATTAGTATAGAACACTCATTTTTATTACTAACGGAATTCCTTTTCTTAGTCTTTGTGTACACATTGTACTTGCTTTATAATGTGCAAGTACAAAAGATTTTGTTGTTATTTTTAATCGAATACAAAAATGTCCTACTTAATAAATAATAGTTTTATATCAAATGCTACAAATGATATTGAACAAGAACTTTTATTGGATCCAATAATTCCATCTAGTCCAGTACAATTTTGGACATTTCTTATTTTTCAAGTTCCATCTCTTGCTTGTACAATCTTTCTCCTCTTTCATTTATTATCCGATCGAAAATTACGTACAGCGTTACATAACCATATTGTTATTATTTTACTTCTTCTTACTCTTTGTATTGAAATATTCGATAATCCATTATATATGGATGCTTATCGTTTGGGTGGATATAGAAACTCATTTCCCTTGACACCATCTATTTGTCTTATGTGGTGGTTGATTGATTATGGATTCTATGGTGCTATATCAGTATTTCTTGCATGGGGCTCATTTGAACGTCATATTCTTATTTTTCATCAACAGTTATTTCGAACTCAAAAACAAAAGTTCTACATACATTATCTTCCTTTAATAATCATTTCAATCTACATTTTTGGATTCTATATATTTGTAATATATTTTCCACCATGTGTAAATACATTTGATTATACATCACCATCATGTGGATCATCTCCATGCTATGAGGATATATCATTTCTTAATTCATGGGATTATATTGTCAATGAAATCATTTGTACATTTCTTGAAACAGTATTTAGTATTGGTCTTTTAGTTCGTGTTCTAATACAGAAACGTCGTATTCGTCAACCAATAAGTTGGCGCAAACATCAAAAGATGGCATTTCAAATTTTATCAATGTCATTTTTATCATTAACAATAATCTTTCCTCAATCATTAATTTTTGTTGTACGGCAAGTCGGTGGAGAAAACATGAATAATTTTGCATCTGGTGTTGACCCATATTTCTTTTACTTATATACATTTGTAGTATTTCTATTACCATTTACATGTCTCAGCTGTTTACCAGAAGTTTGGCCAAAATTCTTATTTGTTAAATCAAAACAACAAACTAAAGGTGCAGAAATCCGAAAAGCAGCATATCGATGTGAATTGCAACGGTGGTAAAATCATATAAACAGCAAAGATTTTATTTTTCGAAATCTTTTCAAATAAAAAGTTTTTTCAAATAATCACATGTTTTTTTGATGCTAGACATTTAATTATGTTGATAAGTAAGCACTCATAGATGAAAAGAAAGTAAACTATTTACAAAATTTACAGTATCTTGGAGAATTTAATTTTTCAGTTGAATAATTTCTATTTTTTATCATAATTGAACTCAAGGTATGTATTCTTTTTATTCCGGTCAAAAACAAATGTAATACTTTTAACATAGAGAAAAAAAGATACTGATTATTAACAGACTATGTCCTCTCAATTTCTCTGGTACCTATTATTGAGAATTCTTCAACAACAACGTCTAAGAAAAGGATTAATAAGCATTAACGATATATAAATAGTATTTCGCCTATGTCGTTTTATTCATGAACACGATGGGTATTCTAAAGATTTTGAAATAATATATATGAAGCAAATTACTCGACTGATTAATATGTTTTCTACTATTGAATCAACGACGTACTAGTTCAAAATCGTCTCAGAATAACCCAGTAATTCTTTTTCTTAATTACAAATAAAAAGTGACAACTGCATGTGACTAGAAATGTAAATGATACTTTTAAAAGTTATTATAAATGTAGAAGAAAAAAAATATTATTTCTAATTCTTATAAATATATTTCATTTTTAATAAATTAGAAAAATTACAGACGTGAGTTTCCTCCTTGTTATTTATTATGTATACATCAGAAGAGCAAATGCGAGATATATGAATTTTGCATTTCTTTACGTTAATTAAAGTATTCTTGAGAGACTGCCTCTGTCCTCTGTTGCTTTTTATTTGCCTCATTACGAATTTTTATCCCGTGGTTGATATACTATTCTAAGACGAGCAATCTCTAATCAATCTATGAATATATAATGTACTGATTTATATTTAGGATGAGTTTTTCTTCAATGAAGTAAGAAACATATATATTAATGGAGTTTAATAATACTTTCAACGACAGTAATTCATCTACCGAAATTAATGACGACACAGACGACGACTTGGAAGATATTATTCCATCTAGTCCAGTACAATTTTGGACATTTCTCATTTTTCAAATTCCATCTCTTGCTTGCACAGTCTTTCTTCTCTTTCATTTATTATCCGATCGAAAATTACGTACAGCATTAAATAATCATATTGTTATTATTTTACTTCTTCTTACTCTTTGTATTGAAATATTCGATAATCCATTGTATATGGATGCTTATCGTTTGGGTGGATATAGAAACTCATTTCCCTTGACACCATCTATTTGTCTTATGTGGTGGCTGATTGATTATGGATTTTATGGTGCTATATCAGTATTTCTTGCATGGGGCTCATTTGAACGGCATATTCTTATTTTTCATCAACAGTTACTTCGAACTCAAAAACAAAAGTTCTTCATCCATTATCTTCCTCTAATAATCATTTCAATCTACATTTTTGGATTCTATATATTTGTGATATATTTTCCACCGTGTGTTAATACATTTGATTACACATCACCATCATGTGGGTCATCTCCATGTTATGAAGATATATCTTATTTGAATGTATGGGATTATTTAGGAAATGGCATTTTTTGTGCATTTCTTGAAACAATATTTAGTGTTGGACTATTAGCACGAGTTCTAATACAGAAACATCGTGCTCATCAACCAATCAATTTGCGAAAACATCGAATGATGACAATTCAACTCTTATCAGTATCATGTTTATCATTGACAATAGTTTTTCCTCAATCATTAATTATTGTTATAAGGCAAATTGGTGGAGAAAACATGAGTGACTTTGCATCTGGTGTTGACCCATATTTATTTTATTTATATACATTTGTGGTATTTCTATTACCATTTATATGTCTTGGGACTTTATCTGAAGTTTCGAAAAAACTATGGATCTTTAATAAAAAACGTCGAAATATTGGTCCAATGGCGAGAAGGAATGCAGTATGTGTACATTCGTTTGAAGTGAGACCAAAACCAAATTTACCTATTGTACAATAGAAAAGAACTAAAATTTATTAATTTTGTATATTTTAAAAAAATTAAAATAAACACGAAAAGTAATTTACACGAAAATAAAAAGAATACTAATGAAAATATAAAAAAAGGGCGAGAATGTTTTGAATTTTGTTGCGTGACTAACACTAAAAGGATAGAAGAAATCAGCTGGTAAACGTGTACTTGGTGTTGGTATATGACCTTGTATAGTAATAGGTGAAGCTGAAATATCTTGAAAAGTAACAGTTTCAGTTAGAAGGGCAACAGTTCCTAGTGAAAGTGCCTACAAAATAAAAAATAGAATAAGAAAAGAATAATTGAAACAAATATTCACTTACTCCTTGATATCCTTGATAATGAAAAATAACTGCACTCAATACAGGTTGCGGATTGAAAACAGAACCAATGTTAGTATACGCTATTTGGATATCCAGTCGGCTATAACATGAAGTAGCCGATGTTGTGTTTAGAAGAATACCAGTAATACAGTTAGCTGTATTCGCATCTCCTTGCGTTGTGTATGTGCAAGATGTAACAGGCAACCAATCCGTAGAAACGTTGAACGGATTTGAATCACTATAGGCAGCTACATATAGACTTGCTGAATTATACGGCATCAATAACTGAAAAGAATTAGAACAACTTGTACTACTAACACTATATAAAGAAAAATAAAGAATTTATTATTTGAATATAATAAAATTTGAATAAAATGTCTTACGTATATTGGCATGTAGATTGAACATTTTCACCAAAACGAATAGGTATACGGTCGATAGTACTACAGACACCAGTGGATGATGGTTTTATAATTGAAAATTGTGGAGAATTTGTTGATCTAGAACAACAACATAAATTTATATTGTTTTTTTTTTATAAAATCAAAATTCAGTTTATATCATACCCAATGTCAGATCCATTGGAAATACCAGCTATAATATCAGCACTTTGAAGATACCCTGGACCACGTGTTGTACTTGGTAAAGTTGATCCACTCTAAATCAGAAGCAACATTAAATATATTTGACAATGAAATTTAGATTTTACTTTGATAAATAAAACGGTGAATGTTTGCTCAAATGTTGTATCATTTGCGGTAGCAGTGGTAGAAGTCACACTTACACCTACTATTCCAATTGAACTGTTATAAGTGATTGTTATAGTTAACTAGAAATAAATTCGTTTTTTTTATAGAAACTTATGTGCTCTTTTTATTATTTTACTTGTTGAAGAGCATTTGTGCAAATATTCGATGCGAATGTTGGAGTAGATACAGTTGTACCATTAACACATACGTCGCCTGAAGTATCTATGAAAAATATAGAATTATAATTACTGTGATAATAAACATGCAAAAAATACTGTGTGGTTTTGATGGAGACTAAAATAAAAAGAAAACTACATTACATAAAATCTATTAGAAATATATTTTATATTTACTGAAAAAAGACAGAGTTGATTTATATATGTTGAAGGGTTTAGAGCTCCAGTAGTACATGTAGCTTGATTTACCACTTGACTACATGTTGATGTAAAATTATTCATATAAGCTATAAGATAAGTAAAAAAAAACATTATAATTGTATATATTAAATGACTTTATAATGTATACTGATCGGTTGGTTTCCAGAACACATTGGATTATTGAATAGATTTACTGGTAGTGTAAGAAAACTCGCTAGATTTGCGTTATTTTTGGTAGCCAATACTTTGGTGCCTACCTAGAAAAATAAAATGATAAAGAATCTATTCGTAGTAACAGATTGTATTATGTACTATACTTGATAGCTAGAGGTGTCAGTTGATGGATCAGCAGGTGTTGTAACACCATTTGCTTTATTTATTGCCTGTACGAAAGCATTTGCATCTAGTGTTTGAATATTTGGTTGTTGATAATATTGACTACCCGTATCTAAATTCAATACAAAGGAGAGAATTTAATAGAAACTAATTATAAAGTAAGATAACATACATCGATAATAATCTATGCAAACAAGTTCGCCCATTTTTTGAATAATATAGGGTGAAGTTGATTGAAATATTGACAAATCTTTAAAACATGATCCTTGAATAGTAGATAAAACAGGAGACGAACTAAATTTAAGATAATAAATTTGTTTTATAAATATGTAGTCTTTTTAATCTACTTACTTTGTAAATATATTGGCTCTTGAACTACATCCAAACGCTACTAGATCATTTGATGAACAATCAGGATCGCAACAACATGATACATCGCATATACCGCCAGTTAAATCACATGTACATGATCCGATATCTCAAAGAAACAAACGAGAATAATCAACAAGTAAAAATAAATATTCATTATTTACCAGTATTAGCAGTAAATGTAGGAAAATATACTGGTACATTTTGAGATTGAACTATTGTAATTAATAGTATGAGAAAAAGATTCATAAACATAAACATCTAAAATGAAGATAATTAAATTAATTAGCTACGCAAATATGTATTGTTATGATAGTTGTTTCAATCATCAGCATCTTTCATGAACGAAGGAAAACTATCTACTCGAAATATTGAATTATTAAGATAATGTTACGAATTTAACTCTTTTTTTTATTTTTCCTGAATTCTAACATCAAATGTAGTATCTAACAATCTTATGTATTGCTCACTTTTGCAATGGATATTTTAAAGATCAATAATGAATTCTATTAGATTTCATTAGTGAACTACTCACCTTTGCATGTTACCTAGCAACTTGAATAGGTGAAAACGTTTTTAGAATATTATTTTTTTTCAAATCTTTTTTCAATTTACAACATACATAACCGAGAATATATCAGCAATGATTTAAATAAATTTTGTGTTGTGTAATATAGATGTCGTTGTAGATACATTTTTTTTTCGTTTATTATTTTTTCGTCATTTGTTTTTTCTGTCAATAATATGAGTTGCTCTTCAATATGTTTATTTCATGATCGACAATATTCTAGTAATGTTCAATGTATACTTAATCTTCTTCGTAAATATATATTGAATACAAAATGTGATTTAAATATGATTGCAAAAAAA